AATGAAGTTGATGTAGACTGATGCATTCCATTCAATTGATAGTTCCACAATGATCCGTAGTGTTGTGATTTGGTCTGTACACGATTGATCCTTACGGAATTCAGCCTGTTGATCTCAAAGTTGGGCGTCTACAGAATCCTTCAATCAAATGAGATAAATATTTATTATTCATTATCAATATTTGTCAATAAAGTGATCTTAATTTTGATGCAACTCATTATCAATTTATAAACTACATGTGTAAGTATCCGTTTTAAAGTAAATTTGATTTCGCTGAATTAGCTATTTTTAACCAAGAACCTTATTTTAGATACTTTTCAGTTTATCTAGCATTTCTCATTATTCGGTTTCTCTTTTTATATCATTTCAGTTTTTCTAAGTCATTCAGTCAGTCAAACAGCTTAGAAACTGGTACATGTGTGTACCGATTCAAGTTGTTACACCAAATCATTACAGCGAGATAAATCCCGGAATAGTCGAAGCGGTAAACAATATCAGCAGTGATAATTAATATTAAATATAGACTATATGATTCAAGAAATAGGAACAAATTCGCAAAAAAACAAGTATCAGACAATATTTGAAACTAAAGATCCAAAGGAAGTTCATAAGTGAATGGATCTATGCTGTTGAGATCACTTCTAATCAGTGTCATCCAATGTCTGAAACTAAGAAAAGTAAACGTCTTTATGTTATAATTCTGATCGTTGTATGTACTAATCAAACTGTATATTCTCTCTCTCTCTCTCTCTCTCTCTCTCTCATATAACTGATTTCTATTGATCAAACTTAAAAGTCGATAGCTGTTAGGTGAGTGAGTCAAAATGATCGGAAACATCTATGGTTGTTGTTAATCTGACTGTATGAATGTAAAAAAAGCACATGTTTTACATTAGTTTTTAGTGTATGATTTTTGACTATTTAATTAACCCGTTGATTTTTACCTGACAGATCACATGCTATATTAAAGTCACATGGTGAATCAGATGTAAATATAAGTGTCTTTTACATGTATGTATGTTACTAGCGGAGGTAACCGCCTACGTATTTATGTCCATTGGAGAAACTACAGTGTATATAAACTGTATACATTATTATTTGGCTTTTGATAGTAGAATTCCCCTTTACAGTTTCAATTTTCTTCCATTGTATAGCTGATTGGTCAGCTGATAAGGCTGTGAAGAAGGATCAATTCCATGTATGTAGTCTCTATTAATCATATTGAAGTAAGCATGAACGAAGATTTGAGCAGAATAACATAACTTGGTTTTATTTTGTTAGGTTCTTGTCAGTTGCTTAAAACCTGTAATATTTAGAAACTATAATTACTAATTAAGTTGAATTCACTTACATGAATAAGTTTAGTTGGGAGATCTTATGAACGGACATTACTATAATATAATAGTAATTATTATTTGAACACATAAATATTGATACAAAGGGGCACTACATACATATGCACCACACAAGTCACTTGATTTCTGTGTGCTATACGATACTGTATGGGTGCCCAGACCAAGGGAGGAGGTTTTGGTAGGAAGCTACATTCGGAGCCTTCAACCTAAAGGTCTGATGCATAAGACAGTGGAGCAACGTAAGGAGATCCAATCACCTGGTATCCGGTGACCAACAATTGGTTCATACGCCTTTTGTTCCCTCAGGATGCTGGAGCTCATGTGCACCACTGGTTTGTAATCAGGGTATTCCAACCCCCCCCCTTGGTGAACTCTCCGTCTAGACCAACCTAGTTAATGCTCAAGACATTCGCTTTTCATCCTTTTAATTTCGTAAACAACAGAAATGCCGCGAGAAGGCACTGAGTAGGAATTCCCTGACAGTGGCTGTATACACATGGCGATGTGAGAACATTTCGAGAAGGAGAGCTGTCTCTCCCTACTCTTGGCAGTACCAGGGCATTCGGGGGAAAGGATTTCAATAAATCTAAGGGATTAAACATTGGTACAAGTGGGAACTAAATATATATGCACCATATTTAATCATTTGATTTGTCTGATGGCAAATATATGTCTTATATGGGCGAACATTCTACAATATTGATGGTAACATTAAAGTAAAAATCTAGAAACAAGTGGTTACAAGATGAACTAACGCTAATGAGTAGAGTTCAGTTTGTTATTATAAAGTTATTAGTCTACAAAGAGAATTGAAAAAAAAATAAAATAATATAATCATCTAAAAGTAAGAATTTAATAATGTAACAAAGTACAGTTTCTATCATCAGGATAGAGGGAGATAAACATTTGTCTACTTCTAAGCACAATTCATGTTTTTCACACTTGATTGCATGGGCTTCAATAAACTTCAGAAGACTGGAGCTTGATTTTTTTATTAGTCACCTTCATGACCACTGAGCCGGCATCCAACAGTGTCTATGTCAAAATTCAACCAATCTACGACATTGCACCACCGTCCGCCATTGTTTTCAGTGAGTCACTATTTCACAACACACCCAGTTGGACTCCACTGATCACAGCTTATCACTAGAACTCCAGGAATTACCTCTTGAAGCCAGTCACTAGTGAGCACATGATGATTGTTATCAAAAGGGGGTTTGTGGATATTATGGAAAGTTTATAGTTGAATTCATTAGTCAATTAAAGCTAGACCACCATGGGAAACCTGGAAGCACTTTGTTTCATATAAACCAATTCCGAGTTATTTGCCTAGAGCTTTAAAATAAATATGGTGGTTAAGACTGTGTTTATTTCAGGTTCCCTTTTGGTCACCACGGAAAACCTTGAAGCGCTGGACAACCTTTTCGTCCTGGTATGGGACTCCTCAGCAGTGCGCATCCACGATCCCGCCCTCCGCGAGATTCCAACCCAGGACCTATCAGTCTAGCGCGCGAGCGCTTAACCACTAGACCACAGAGCTAACCGGCGTCCATCGTTGTTAATGTCTAACTTCGACTAATCCCATACTACAACGAGACCAGCCGTCCAGTTCTTCCAAGTTTTTCAGGGTGGTCTAGCTTCAATTGATTCATGATTTTAACTATTGAAATTAATAAATTGTCAGTGAACTTCAAGTTTTCCCTATTATTTTAATTTTATTAGATATGATCAAAGCAAGTGTTTTCCATGTTTTCTATGTTCACTCGAATCGAACTTCTTCAAAATTAACACTCTATTGATATTGAACAAAGAGATTCATTAACCAATCAGCATTATGAATAGAATTTATTAAAATATGATTGGTTAATAATATTTAAGATGGAATGGCTCATTAAAATTTATTAACCAATCAAATTGTAGAATCTTAAATAAGATCATGTCCCCCCAAATGGTAAGTTCTATTATACACAACATGTTATGTTAGTTCATTTTATACAAGATCTATTTTGCCTGTTTAATATTTCCCATGTAAAAACTCACAAAGAAAAGCTTCTTCTATGAACAAAAATTGTTCTATTTATTTATAATGATTGTTCTTAATCTGTAAAATATCCAATAGGTGAGGAGACAAACTTTATAGGCGTAAATGTGTTTAATATGAAGAAATGATTGATTTGATGTTGTTTGATTGATTATATCTTCCCATTATTGTTTAGGTCTATTGTTGGAATATATGCAATCTGTGCGAATTGCTTCGATATTGTTTTAAGTCACACAAGTTTTATAAACAAAGATGAATGGTAGTGGATTCCACTACTAGTCATCATCCATCTCTCTGCTTATAGTGCGCTTGTGATTTAATACAATATTGAAGCGAATCGTACAAGATGAACATGTACCAATATGGGACTGATCAAGTTTAGTCCTAAACACTGAATAAATTTAAACTTCATCCCATTGCACAAGCATTTGGCTATGAGGACTCAGTAGATGTTGAGTAGATAACGCGTTGGTGTTTGAAATGAACATCAACTTTGAGATGCAGGTACATCCAACTAATGAGTCCCAAATAGGATGAAACATGTATCCTGGATTTCATTGCTAGTCACCATCCATTTTTGCTTATAAGAAATGATTGTTTAGATGTAAACATGTTTACTAGCTTGTTACAGATGGATTGCTAGATATTGATTAATGTGATATATAAACTATTGCAATAAGAATAAAAACAGGGAACTGATTGACGTTGAAACATACAAACTTTTACTCGAGAACGTTGACTATGTTACAAAATGTACTATGTCTTAAACCCCAAACAAAATCTAACTATAACTGAAGCTTTACTTCCCAAGTAAACTGAGGTACATAGTTATGTGCTTATTGAGATTTATCAGTGGTTATAGTCTCATATTTCATTCATATTATCACATATATTTCAATTTTAAATAATAACTAGCACTTGTAACCACTCAGCTCTGGTTTTTTGATGGTCAAATTAAAAATATGGAAATTAACATATCGTATCCATCATATAACTCCGCATGGAGCCCCTCCGGGACTACTGCCGTTCCCAAGCCCGGACAAAGGAGGAGGGTTGGGCATGGGGTTAGCGATCCCATCCCATAAAAACTAACTCGCTAGAAAAACCCTAACAAGAAAAAAATTATTCAAACCACTTAAACTCTTCCCTGGGAGTCAGAAGTTCTTCATTTAGAAGTATGATGACACCTCGTAGTGAAAGCCGAGTTCCTTCAAAAGCCATGAGGCTGATGCCCCTTCTGACAACCTACTATGGGAGATGCAGACTACTTGGTTGGGGTCCGTGTGATTATCGTAACCAATGGTTGGAGACTCTTGGTGACAAGGCTCAGAATCGATCACAATGGCGTAGGTGTATACACTCTCTGTCTTCCCTTTAACTAAGTGATTAAAATCGCTTCATATCTTTCTTTCTACTAACTAATTCTTTCTTCTTGTACTATCTCCTTATATGCAATCTTTCTTTTATATATTACTACCTTTTAAGTGACTACTTCCATGAATCCGGTGTTCATCTTGTTGTGCTAATGCGGTATGGCAACTAGGACCGATGTCTGGTTCTAAGTTGCAGCTAACTGACTGAGACAAAAGTCCTTATTTATAATGTATCAGTCAATATAAAATAATTTTTTTAAAAAAGGCATGGATACACGCACACACACACACATAGAAATCAATTCTTGTTTCTGTTTCTAATAATAAAAGCATAGAATAGATCTATTGAGAGAGAAATATGAATAAGATTTAATAAATATCTAAATGAAACTATATTCACATATATGAGATAATAATAGTAATTTATGTACAGAAATAACAGATAAGGAATAAAATTGTAATTCTATGCAAATTGGAGAGTATTTATTAGAATCAAGGAGGAGGAGTTGGAGTTGGAGTTGAAGTAGGAAGGGGGAGGAAGAGGAGGAGAGGGAGTGGAGAACATAGTGAGTAGTGAAGTTGAAAAAAAATATATATATAATGATTTCCTATTGATCAGATGATTTTCACATCATTCATTTTATAATGAAAAGAGAAAAAAAAAATTGAATTGTAGAAAACTAAAGGCAAATTTCAAATCAGAGAATAGGAATCTTGAAAGAAAATAAATGATTATGTCTATAGGGAAATTATGGGGGGGGCGGGTAATGATTAGTAGGTATTGATAATAAGTAGTACAATAAGTCGAATAGTAACAATAATGGAAATGATGTTACTAGTGTCAGCAGTAACAATAATGTTAATAATATTGGTTGGTTATTTTAATGATTTAACCCATAAAATTGTCAATTAGTTTCATATGATTATTATCGTTCTATTCATTCTAACCATCAATTGTTAAACTCATTGATGATGAAGAAAAAGGGGAATACAAAGAGAAAGAGAAAGAGAGAGTATGAGAGAGAGAGACCAAGAAAGATAGAATGATGCATAATAAACTAATGTAATTTATTGATATGAATTACGTAATGGATTTGTAATGAATTTCTTAATTCGAACAAGATCAGTTCTTCGTTTCAATGTGTTATTATTATTATTATTATGATGTTGATGTTGATGATGATGATCAGTTGACCAATTTGTAAGAAATTTCAATATATCTGATAATGAGATAATTCCTTCAACTTTATTATTCTCATCAACAATAATTAAACGATGTACCTAATAAGATAAGAGATAAATGGAAAAATATATACATATATAGAATCAAAGAGAAGTTTTATGGAGATTATAGTAATTTAATAATTGAATTTATGAGTCAATTGAGGCTAGACATTAACAGCAAGGTGGGATTTGACTCGATTGATTGTGAGGTTCTATGGTAGTGTTTGTTACTGAAAGGAGTATCAAAGAAGTACATTAACTTTATAAAGACTCTCTACTTGAACACAACTGGTCGAGCGAAAGCTTATGGCAAACTATCATCAGAACTGATTACCTCAAGTGATGTTCGTCAACGCTGTCCACTCTCTCCATTCTTGTTTAACTTTATCGCTGATTTGCTTTTAGAGATAACACTTTCCTCATCCAAATTTCTAGGAGCTGAAATTTAACCAGGAAATTCACTTGTTGATTTAGAATATGCCGATGACATGGTTCTATTTAGTGAAGACGCTGACAAAATGCAGAGTCTGCTGACCACTCTAAGCAACAATGCAAGCATATTCGAGATGTGATTCTCCTCCTCAAAATGCAAAATTTTGCTTCAGGATTGGTTTTTACCGACACCCGAACTAGTGATAGGGAGTGAAGTAGTTCAGCGTGTCGACCGCTTCACTTACCTCGGAAGTCTCATCAGCCCTTGTGGTTTGGTGTGTGACGAAATCTCAGTACGGATACAGAGGACTGGACTAGCTTTTTCCAACTTGCGTCATTTGTGGCGTAGGCGAGATATCCGACGTGTTTACTGTGCAGCAATTCGTTCCGTCCTACTCTATGGCAGTGAAACATGGACGGTAAGAGTAGAGGATAATCGTAGATTACTAGTATTAGACCATAGATTCCTCGTATATCATGTGGTCACCAAGTAAATAACTCAGTTGTTAGGAAACGGGTACTAGGTAAGGATGGCAAATCTATTGATGAAGTAGTGAAACTTCATCAGTTGAGATGGCTGGGATACGTTTTATGTATGCCCAACCACCGACGTGCGATGTTTTATGGTGTAAGAGTAGGTTGGAAGAAAGCTAGGGGCGTCCAGACCAAAACATGGCACAAATCCATGAAGTCACTGACAATTGGACTGAGCCATGTTGGTAGGTGTAGACTACTAGGTTGGGATCCACGAGACAATAGCAACGGTCGGTTAGAGACCTTGAATGATATGGTTCAAAATCGTTTGCAATGGCGTAGGTGCATCCAATCTTTGTGTTCTCCCAAATTCCAATCTTCTGAATTCTTCATGTCCCTTATTTTTTCTCTTTGCAAATTTATTTCATTGGATTATACTCCTTGAATAACATCTTCAAACTCTAATGTTCCTTACTACTACTTATACTTTTACTACCTCTACCACTATGGGATTTGAGTCGATAATTGTATCTCTGTGCTAATGTGGTATGGCAACTCGAACTGATGTACGTACAGACGGACGAAGTTCCATGTTGTTACTGCCTGTATAGTAGTAACATACTAAATGAACGAAATCATGTTCAATCATGTTAGATATTATATTGAATATTCGAAAGAGAAAACGGTTGTCCTAACACTAATCCGTTTATTTATCCAAAAAAAAATTTATCAAAGATCATCAACCTTGATTTCTATTAGAATGAATCAATTGTTTATTGTTTACGTGACATGAGATAAATACACAATGATTGTTGTTTACAACTAAAAAACAAACAATCTGTCTACCAGTTTCTCTGTTTGTTTATTTATTTATTTATGTATGTATGTATGTTTTGTGTTTATGTCTATTTTTAACACAATTATATTTATTTCTCATCAAAATAATTCGAAAAAGATTTTCACAGTAAATCATAACTACTTTCAACCCCTATCTTATCTTAAACAATAGTGCATGCAATGTCGAATCATTCTAGACTAATGGGTCATATTGCAAATTGACCGATAGGATTTAATCTGCACTAAACAAAGACTTAACACACATGATATTGATCATTACCCAGTGATCAATCAATTGTGATTACATCTCAGTCCTACATAGGAGGTCAGTCACGGCAGGGATAACCCAGTGGTAACATCTCTGACTGTGAAGCTAGGTGACACGGGATCGAATCTATCAGGGAGCACCAGTTCCTTCAAGATTACAGGTACATCTTGCTGACGAGTGATAAGTAGTACGGAACCTGGGTTCAGGGTTTCCTGTTGACTACCTCGAACTACTATCTAATCACACAATAGCGCCCGCATTGACGAGTCATCTAGACTAGTGGTCATATTGCAAATTGATCGATAGGATTCAATCTGCACTAAAGAAGGACTTAATACACATGATATGGATCATCACCCAGTGATCAATCAATTATGATAATAGAATATAGAACAAGAGAATAAACTTCGACGAATATATTACAAGGAATTTAATGATGATGGTCTAGAAAATATTATATATATGAAACAAAAAATGTCGGAAAATTAATTTTAATGTTATTCTATATATGATGGATCTAAGTTAAACTACCAGTGGAAATCTGGAAGTACTGGATGACCGTTTCGTCCTAGTACCGGACTCCTTGGCATTGTGCGTCCAAGATTACGCACGCAGGACTCGAACCCAGGACCTTCAGTCTCTCTTACAAATGTTTTACCTCTAGATCATTGGGCCGGCATTGAACGGTGTTAATATCTAACTTCAATCAATCCATGATCATGTACAACTATTCATCCATTGCCTGAGGTAGATACTTGTCTTTACTCGATACGGATTGGACTCCACAGGTCACAGCTTTTCACTCAGTCAGTAAGTCAGTCTGACTCTAGGAAGTCCATCTTGAAGCCAGTCACTAATGTACACATGATTATATATATAGGATTAATAGAGAGAAATGATAAATCTCAAGATATAGATTTATTTGTGTATATGTATTTACACGTTAAATGTTTGATTGTTATCATGTGGTGGTAGAACAGCTGTCAAGATGTCAACTACAGATAAATATATATCTTCCCCCTACCGGGTTCATAGTTGATTTTTTTTATGGTTTATCATATGATGTCAAGTTAAAATATTGATTTTATCTGATTAGTTACTATCCGATCGATGTAGATATAAAGTACATAAAAAAAGAAGAAAACAATACCGAGTCTCTATTACATTTGTATATTAAGGGATATGAACTAAGTAAATCTGTCAATGTATATATTATTTGATTGTATGCTGTTTACATTTTCAACGGGCTATTCCCCCTTATTCACACTATTAATATATTAGTCAGTCAGTAACAACGTGGAACTTCGTACATACGTACATCAATTCGATTGGCCATACCACATTAGCACAGAGATTCAGTTATCGATTCAAATCCCCTAGTGGTAGAGGTATTAAAAGTATAAACAGTAATCGGGAACATTAGGTTTTGATGATGTTATTTAAGGAGTATAATCCAATGAAATAAATTTGCAAAGAGAAAAAATAAGGGACATGAAGAATTCAGAAGATTGGAATTTGGGAGAACACAAAGATTGGATGCACCTACGCCATTGCAAACGATTTTGATCCATGTCATTCAAGATCTCTAACCATTGATTGCTATCATCTCGTGAATCCCAACCAGGTAGCCTACACCTACCGACATGACTCAGTCCAATTGTCAGTGACTTCATGGATTTGTGCCATGTTTTGGTCTGACCACCTCTAACTTTCTACCAACCTACTCCTACACCATAAAACATAGCACGTCGGGGCAGTCGGTGGTCGGGCATGCGCAACACATGTCCCAGCCATCTCAACTGATAAAGTTTCACTACTTCATCAATAGATTTGTCATCCTTACCTAGTACCCGTTTCCTAACAGCTGCATCTGTTACTCGGTGGTCCCAGGATATACGAGCGATGTTTCGAAGACACCTATGATCAAATACTGGTAACCTACGAATATCCTCTACTCTTAGTGGCCATGTTTCACTGCCATAGAGTAAGACGGAACGAACTGCTGCGCAGTAAACACGTCCTTTGGTTGATAGACGGATATCTCGCCTACGCCACAAATGACGCAAATTGGAAAAAGCTAGTCCAGTCTTCTGTATCCGTACTGAGATTTCGTCACACACCAGACTACAACGGCTGATGAGACTTCCAAGATAAGTGAAGCGGTCGACACGCTGAACTACTTCACTCCCTATCACTAGTTCGGGTGTCGGTAAAACCCAATCCTGAAGCAAAATTTTGCATTTTGAGGAGGAGAATCACATCTCGAACATGCTTGCATTGTTGCTTAGAGTGGTCAACAGACTCTGCATTTTGTCAACGTCTTCACTAAATAGAACTATGTCATCGGCGTATTCTAAGTCAACAAGTGAATCTCCCGGTAGATGTTCAACTCCTGCAAGTTCAGATGTGGAAAGTGTTATTTCTAAAAGCACGTCAACAACAAAGTTAAACAAGAATGGAGAGAGTGGACAGCCTTGAGGAACATCACTTGAGGTAATCAGTTCTGATGATAGTTTGCCATAAGCTTTCACTTGACCAATAGTGTTCAAGTAGAGAGCCTTTATAAAGTTAATGTACTTCTTTGATACTCCTTTCAGTAACAAACACTACCATAGAACCTCACGATCAACAGAGTCAAATGCCACCTTAAGGTCGAGAAATACTATCATTGTGGGGCATCTGAATGTGTGTTTATGTTCTAGGAGCTGACTTAGTGTGAATATTTGATCTATACAACCACGTCCAGGTCGAGAACCAGCCTGGTTTTCTCTACTCTGCTCTTCACGAGATTTCGTTTGACGTCGAAGTATTATTGAAGCTAATATTTTAGACACTATACTAGTCAAACTAATTCCTCTGTGATTGTCACAGGAGGACTTTTGTCCTTCCTTATAGACTGGAACAATCAGTGATTGAGACCAGTCAGTTGGGATTACGTCTAGTTCCCAGATTCTAACTAAGACCTCAGTCAATCTCGCTGCTAATACTGGACCACCATCCTCAAAAATCTCAGAAGTAAACCTGTCAGGACCTGCCGCTCTCTCTT